CGTGCAGAGCGGGGCAGGGCCAAGCGCGGCCATTAACCTCACTGGAGCGCGCCTGCCTGGAAAGGAGCCCGCTGGGGGTGCTGGGGCAGTGGTTCTGACAGGTGAAGAGCAAACAGCCAGAGCCTGTTTTGCTTTTCTCCTTATGGAAACAGTAAGATGTTTCCAAAATGAACTCTTTTTTAAAAAAGTCTTCAGGACTGGGTCTGAAAATCCCACAGCAGGACTATTGCTTCTTGACTGTTGTGTGTTGCTGTCCTGCTTTGTGTTTTGTGTTATAATCATGTGTGTTACATTTCACATAAGTAAACCCTCTGCAAGAAAAAGGTGTTGGAAACAATACAAAGGTTACAGTATAACCAAAGAGTGAGAAAATACATATTGCTTCCTTCTTTCTCCAAGAAAAGTTGCTAGGGTCTAAATTTGCAAGAGAGGAACAGACAAAAGTTGAAACAACAGCACCAAGACAAAACAATGGGCTTTACACCATTCACATGATGATAGGCATGTGCACAAAAAGATCTCATTTCACACCTATCTCTACAGAAAGAGGATGAACTTGTGCTTTAGCACATGCTTTTACACAGCTGGATGAAATATGCCTCCCTCTAGTGGGTTCTCTTTTTGTGACCATGTTTTACACAGAGAAGTGCTGATCAAAATCAAAGCATCAAACACTGTCTATACACTTAGACTAACAACTCAGATTCATATAGCCAGATTGCAAAGTGCTATGGAGTTGTTAGCATGCCACAGAGATCAAAATTTTCATCCTGCCACTGAATCTGTGCAGCAAAGATGGGCATTGAGAGTTACAAGCTCAGACTTTGTCACCACAGTAGCAGAGTATGAGAACCAGTTAACATCTTGTTTTTCCTTTCAATGCTTGTGTCTTACCTTTATTAAAGGTGTTACAGAACAACAGGCACAGCATGCTAGTTAGTCTGCTAGCAGGGAGGGGTTAACAGTGGTAGAGCATGAAGGAGGTATATAAGCAACTTGTTTACAAATAGTTAAGTTGTTCTCTATTCATTTTTTTGTTGGAACAGTGATGCTGACTTAAGAGTGAAACTGCCTCTGGAGGATACCAAAACACATTTCTTCTGCTCTTGAAAACTGTTTGGAAGATTAAGGTAGCACTGTCACTCTACTGTCCACATAGGGCTTCCACAGCTTATGGAGAAATCAAGACATCTTTTACCAAACATTAGTAAACTTTCCTTTTCACAGTAGCATTGAAAAAGTCTGTATCTTGCTCAAATGCATCAAACCATGTGATCTGAACATTAAATTTGATTCTTTGAAGCTGAAAACTAGAATGTGTTACAGCAGAACCAGTCCATAACCACAAAAATTAGTTTACTTGGCTTCAGAGGACCTTACACAGTCAGTGAGGCCAATGTTACTAGGCCTGCACTTGAAAGATACAGAGTGAAGAAGTTTTACTCATCCATCATACCTTTTATTTTCTAGTATCAGTATGTGATCATCTTTAAGGAAGTTGAGGGATAAGAACCAAGGAACGTACCAGCTGCACTTTACAGATTAACCGCCACGAAAATAGAAAGCAACTATACAATCTCTGGGTTTCACAAAACTAGTTTTTAAACACTTGACGCAACAAGATTAACTGCAACAAGTGAAGAAGCTAGATCTGTAAAGTGCTATTTTTGTTAGAAGTGGCTAAAAAAGCACAACTACAACAGATTTGGGTATTGGGTGATTAGATTGTCGATGTCCTCCAAATCTTTCATTTCAGGCTCTGTGTTTTTTGATGAAATTGATAAGCCCATTTGTTGAGCTATCATGAGATGTCACTGGAGCATCTGACTCCAGTTCAGGCTCAATTTTCTTGGCAAGTTGTTTTCCAAGCTCAACTCTGCATTTATAAAAGCATGAGAAGAAAGAAAAACAATATTAGTGCCAACAGCTTACAGTATTTACTATAAACCATTAATGTTAAAAATAGGTGCCAGTAAAGAGTAGCTTGACAGTGAACACTATGACAAATGTTTTTCCCTTCACAAGTTACTGACACAGTCATTATTCAACTCAATGCCATTCATGAACTGGAGTTCACAACTGCTTAGCTAAACAGGCAGCTTTCAAATTACAGAATATCTAAAGAAAGTTTTATTTTAGAAAGCGGAGTCTTTCTCCCTTCAGGACTCATTTGTGTTGTGTTATGCAGCCTGCCCCAACACAGAATGCGTTCAGCTTGCTACTGTTCACTGTTGAAAGCAACATCCCTCAGAACACCGATTTGTAGCACCAAGACAATAAACAACAGCTGAGTTGCAGGCCTGGAAGCCTTCCCCAACACTACAGCATGCTATCCAGGAGTTACAGCCAAAGACAGGACAAGAACTTAAGATTTCCAAGAGCTGCAAGGAACTAGGCTGGTTCTACAGCATCCTCACATTCCATAGTTAGTTTTGGATGCCACTCTAGATTTTGATGTGTTGCAGTAAAAGCTGTACTTATTCCCACCCCACTTCTGATTTCAGAGGTTTTAGCAGATAGAAGCTTTTATTAGACAGTCTTCCATTTTCAGTTTCATAGAATGGTTTGGGTTGGAAGGGACCTTAAAGATCATCTAGTTCCAACCCCCCTGCTGCAGGCAGGGACACCCTCCACTAGACCACATTGCGCCCAAAGCCTCATCCAACCTGGCCTTAAACACTTCCAGGGATGGGGCCTCCACAACCTCTCTGGGCAACCTGTTCCAGTGCCTCACCACTCTCACAGGAAAGAATTTCTTTCTAACATCTCATCTAAATTGACCCTCCTTCAGCTTAAACCTATTACCCCGTGTCCTGTCACTACACTCCCTGATAAACAGTCCCTCACCCTCTTTCCTGCAGGCCCCCTTCAGGTACTGGAAAGCCGCAATTAGATCTCCCCGGAGCCTTCTTTTCTCCAGGCTGAACAACCCCAACTCTCTCAGCCTGTCCTCATAGGAGAGGTGCTCCATCGCTCTGATCAGCTTCGTGGCCCTCCTCTGGACTCACTCCAACAGCTCCATGTCTCTCCTGTACTGGGGCCCCAAGAGCTGGACGCAGTACTCCAGGTGGGGTCTCTCAAGAGCAGAGAGGCAGGATCACCTCCCTCAACCTGCTGGTCACACCTCTGTAGTTTCTACTACAATATTTTAGTTAAAGAACTTGCCGTGGTAACATAGCTCTAAAAACATATACAAAAAAAGACCTATCCTTCAGCCTTTAAGACAGCTCAGTGTAAACAGCTATTCCAGGCCTGTAGAACATGCTTTCTCTTCCAAATAACCTCTCATGCCATAAGCAGATTTCACCTGAAAAGTCTTACTCATTTCCTGATCCCTCTTTCTCCTGCATAAGTCTTCATACAGTATATTGTACCATTAGTATTACTACAGATTAAAAATAATCTGATTAGCTCCTGATTAAGCCTTCCATTTCTGAAAGGGACAAAGTGACAAACTTCCCAAAGCTGCTGTTCTCCACATGGAGCTCTACCACAAGCCTTGGTCGCTGTCCTCCACATGGAGCTCTACCACAAGCCTTGGTCGCTGTTCTCCACATGGAGCTCTACCACAAGCCTTGGTCAGAGGTGCAGCCTTGCATTAGACATAGGGCTCCTATATATAGAAGGCACAAGGACTTCCTTGGCAGGTATCTCCAGTATAGGAAAATTAAGAGGCAGTCAGTCTTTTGCTTAACAGATGCCATTCAAACTGCCTACTAAACATTTATAGATGTAAAATTCTTTTTCCCTTCTGTGGGGGAAATTATTTTCCCTTTCTAATTCTCAGAGCATGCATTCAGCCTGCCTGCCTATTTTACACATTACTACTGCCTCTTTTCTACATTCATAGGGTTTTTTTTTTAAATCAAACTCAAAGGTCCTTAGCTAAAGTTGTATCTACAAAATCATTATGGATGGCTGAACAAGGGTACATGGTGACTTATCCCCAGAAAAATCTGTTTTTCATTTAAAACTAGCCTGTAATCATTTCCTCCAATACATTTTTTTTCATTGTCTTTTCTCTAAGTCATGACAGATTAAGGAATATTACAGTCAATAAGTATACAAGAAAAGATCAAGGAGACTTACCCCCACTGGTCATAACTGTTAATATCCCAGACAATTCCTTGAACAAATATCTTGTGCTCATACATGGCTATAAGCAGAAAGAGATTTATCAATAAACTTCATCAGAATGTCTTAAGCATTCACACTGACAGATCTATTTACTTACCAATGATGGCTCCCAGAGTGAATGGGTTGAGTTTTGTAAACATGATGGAATTGGTTGGTCGATTTCCCTCAAAGACCTTTCAAAACAAGAATTACATTGTTATCTAATATGTTATAAAACTCATATCAGAAACTTCCATTGTATTTTCCTTATAGCCCACATTGGATTATTTTGTATTAGCAGCAAATACAAAATCCTGAAAGCTTTAAAGGCCAACAACTTCAACTGTAAAATTTTATCATTTTCACATTTTATTAAACACAATGGCAAAATCTTATCTCCAAAGCACCACTACTGGCTACTACAGGTTACAGAAAGAAGTAAACTAAAGTCAGTATCCCAGGGCAGCGATGAGATAGCTCATCTTTTCTGAAATGCCTTGAAATTCTTCCAAATCGGCATGCTTTAGCGAGAGTGCTATTCACAGCCCACTCCACTAGACCCGGCAAGGTAGAACATGTACCACTGCCTTCACAACTGTCAAGACAGTAGCGCTTGACAGCCACTGGAGGGCACTGCCCCATTAGCAAACGCCAACACAACACCCTCACCACCACAGTATCTCAAGCGCCAGAGCCTGGTTACCTTATGGGGAAGAAGCTTCTCCAGAGCATCTCCACTCAGTCCTGCTGCTTGAAGTTCCTTACGAGCTTCATCAGCAGTCTTCCCTTTCATCAAGGCCTCAGTCTGAGCAAGGAAGTTGGCCAAAAGAATCTAGCAGGTAGAAATAAAAACATCAACTCCAGTTAAGGAAACATAGCTTGAATAGCGGTACCTAGTGCTTGAATCTAGCTAGAGACCTAATCTAGAGTTACAATTCTTGTTTTTAACACTATGGTAGTAAAATGTGCAGTAGTTTTAAGCTGTATAATGCCTATTATTGCTTTTTACCTTAGAGTGCTAGGAGACTTGATTACTATTTTAGTAGTTCATATATGCAAAGTCAACCAAGACTGTTCTGTAGAATCCTGCCCCTGCTGAAACTGACAGCAAGCCTCCCAGTGAGAGCTAAGGAGCCAGGATTTCATACACCCTCTTTCACCCAGTATAGTCTATATATAATTTATCCCATGCTGCACCATATGCATAGAAAGCCAGGTACAAACATTACTCAAAGGTAACTAAGATGTACTTACTCTATATGAGGGAAAATCCTCACAGCAATCCCTACCAATACAGTAGAAGTTTTTATCATTTCCTATTCCCTGCTAATATTAGCTTGCAAATTCATGTGTGGTTTTGTCCTACCCATTATACTGAAGACAAACTCTTACTATATCTACAACCTAATGAAACCTTTTCTCAATCTTTCACCTGTACTTAGTGTTACTTGACAAAAAATTACTATTACACAACTTCAGTAGCACTTGTAATAACAAGATGGAAATTCAGTGAAGAAGTATGCTTTTTCTGAAGAATGCAGAAAGTAGTAGACCAACATGTTTCCACCTATGGAATTTAAAATTGTTAGACATGGTTCACTGAAAATCCTTACTTGGATGATACATTAAACTAAAAATGGACTGATGAAAAATATCTATGTGTAGAAGGGCTATCACCCTAGCTGTGCTAATATAAACTTTACAATAAGATTTAGTGACACTTGCAATAGCATTTCTGAGGAAGTTTTGATCAGCTCTGAGAATTAGCTTCTTCCTACTCCGCAAGAATTGCACTCCTTACAATTCCCACAATGAACTTTCTCTCCAAATACTTAATTGCTCACCTCTTTCAAGCCTCAGGAGGTCAACAGGCCACACTATTAATCTGCCTCAAGAACTGTGGCCGCAATTTCTTCAACACCGAAGTTACCACTGTATTACATATATTACACATATGTAATTATAATTTAGGTATTTTCAAACCTACTGTGAATGTTCACAGAGCCTATGTGAACAGTTTCAAAGGGACATTTAGCAATCTCACACACTACAATGCTGAGTAAGCTTCAACGCCTTCAGTCACAAGAAAATATGGGCGCCCCAATAAAGAACTTGTTACCTTGTGATGCAAGCCATTTCTGACTGGGTGCTGGGTCTGGACTGGAATCAGAAAGTCACAGGGAATCATGCGAGTTCCTACAAGAAAAGCCATGTTAATAACCCTGCAACAGGAAAGTCTTAGAAAAATCTTCAACTTTCACCCCATTATCAGAGTTACTAGAAGACTTCGCCACTTAAAGCTTTATTAACAGCAGGAGTGACAATACAGCTCAGTAGTTTCAGCTCTAGTTGACCCTCCTTACTGTAGAGTTAAAACCTGCATCTTGTAGCTTTCTAAAGTCAATTAATTAAGAGCACCATAGCAACGTGATTTAGATAAGAGCCCAACCTCTAAACCAGTGTCAATTCTTCAGACTCTTCCAGGTTTGTAGCTATTCAGAACTTAATTCCAAAACAAGGTATTGAATAGCTTCAGTTTACCTTGATGAATGAGCTGGTAAAAAGCATGCTGCCCATTGGTGCCAGGCTCTCCCCACACAATAGGGCCAGTACTGTAGTCCACACGAGAGCCCTTCTTGGTAATGTATTTGCCATTAGATTCCATATCACCCTAAAAGAACAGAAGGGTAGTATCACCTTTCTTGTAGAACCACACAGTATCAGTACAAGCTTCCATACATACTTAACTGAGTGCTGCTCGTTCATGGAAATTTCATAAATATCAAGGATAGTTGCTTAATTTGTGGACAACAACATAATGGAGGGATGAGGAAAAAATCTCTAAATTAACTGAGCAAATAATCTGCTATCAATGTTGGCACCAGTCTCTTTAGGCCCTTGATTACATGAATTTAAGTGACTGCAATTTTAACCTGGAAACATGCATTCAAGTTCTAATACCAGGACAGAAGTATATCTCTCTTCTTGAAACCTTTACTCTGTCTAAGCCTTACCTGCTGGAAGTAAGCAGCAAAGCGGTGCATGTATTGGTCATAGGGCAGAAGGGCATGCGTTTCACATCCGTAGCAGTTTATATACCAGACCCCTAGCATGGCTAACAGAACAGGCATGTTCTTCTCCAGCGGGGCAGTGTGGAAGTGATTATCCTATGTGACACAAAGGAAGAGTTATACTTTGGACAAAGCAATCATCACCCCTCCCAACTCTCATATTGTTTTTACTTTTGTTTTGATTTAGGGAGAGCTTCCCAAGCACAGTTGTTTTAGAAGCATTGAGAGGACATGGGGAGCTGAACTTGCGAAATGAACCTGTCTTTAGTTATCTTACTAACAACTCCTCTTAAGAGGAAAAAATCTGAAATAGGCATCCCACACTCACCATCCAGTGGGCTCCTGCAAGCAGGCTCTCAAAGTTGTCAAAACCTAATAATGGAAAAAGTCAGTTTGTATTTACTATTACAACTCAAACTTGATTTTTCTTCAGAGACAATTGTAAAACAGTTGAGATTCCTTGTACACACCAAGGCTCCCAACTGCTAATTGAGTTTAAAGTTGCACTTTGACTTCTCCTGAAGTTTGCATCTCATAAGCCAGATACATTCAGTTATGATCAAAGCCTGGTCAGAGCAAGTCCAACTTCACAAAACATACTTCAAAAACCTTTGCCTAAAATCCCCATTCAGGCACAATGAGCAACTGGAAGGAAAACAGAGGCATTAAAACCAGGCTCTGTATTAAAAAGGCTACATGGCTTTCAGCAAGTTAGTCACTTCACAGCCAGTGGAGACATTCCAAAAAAACAGGGCCAGGCTAGTGCAGCAGGGATTTCTGTGTTGGTCTGAGGAGAAACAACTGTAAGAAGGTCTTCTCAAAGAAAAACCTTTCCCCCCTTCCTTGCTCTTAAGAATTCACCTGTTTTTTTTTCTTTGCTCTATCATTAGGGTATTTAAATCACCATTCATTTTCACTAATGAGTAGTTTGACTAATACCATCTTCTCCTGCAAAGCCAGAAATCCTGATTCTTATATGGAAAAGTGGAGGTGAAGTGTTTGGCAAACAAGGCAGCAGCTCTACCTACTGTCAGAAGCCAGCTTTGGGAGATGAAGGATGTAAAAGCAAGAAGTGCAGATGGAGTGGCACATCAGCAGTCAGCACCAAATCTGTCTGACAGCAGAGATGAACAGTTTATTGCAGACAAAACAGTTCAGAGCCTGACTGAAGTTTATTTTGGGGTTCACACAGGGTTTTTGGAATGATATGAATAGGAGTTCTCATGTGTCAAAAACAAAACCCAATCTTTTTCTTCTAACTTCAGTCCAAGGGAATTCTAGCTTTTATTTAGAAAAATAAGTGACATTATTATTCAGACTTTAAATATCTGAAAGAAGTGATGAGGGAACAAATGCAACACTGCTGAACAGCCTGCTCACGAAATAGCAGTTCTTAAAGCTCTGACATTCACTGTGTACTTTCCACCTGCATTTGAGATCTGCACTCAGAAATGCCAATGCTACCCAGTAACAATACAACAAGTAGATGGGGATCAATTTTGAGGATCTATGTTTGCTCCACAGTCAACTGCAGATAGAAACAGCATTCCTGTATCATCAGGCCCTATAGCCTAGCAGAACAAGTACTGGGGACAAAAGGAAGTAATGGGAGAAGATAGTTAACAATTTTAATCAGAGCTTGTATGCAGAACTGGAGACATAGGATTTTGAGGTTTAGTGTTTATATACTCACAGAAACTAAATACCTACTGTTATATAGTCTAAGAATGTTAGTTGCAAGGTCTAATTTTCAACACTGACATGGCTTTACATATATTACACTATGCAAGTGACCGAAGAGATGCAACTTGACTATTTGTACCTAAGTATGGGTAATTTCCAAAACTGCATTTGCAGCACTAAAATCTCAACATTTCTGCAGCATTACAGACTGTTTAGCACAAACATCCAACCACTCAAGAGCAGGTTGGGTAAAACAGTGTTTGCTCCAAATCTGAGCCACAATCCATTATTATGGAATGAATTCCATATTTATATTCCTGAAGCAAACAGACTAATTCTTAGCATTGTTATATCACAGGAATACCTACCAATATGCAGGGCAATGGAGAGACCAATGGCAGACCACAGAGAGTAGCGGCCACCAACCCACTGAAAACAAGAGATTGGTTTAGATAGAAGTGCAAGGCTTTTAAACCTAAACTTATTCAAACTATTATGAAATAACAGCATGAGTTTAGACTATTTTCAGTAAAATCAATATTCTTTCTGGTGATAATTCACTGTACACTATATGGCATGGTCAAGGGAACCTGCACCTTATAGTAGCCCACTAATGAATCCTTAAGTATGCATTTTTGAAGCTTTAAAGTTATCCTACTTGTCCAATTTATTTAACATCTGTTGAAGCAGATCCCTTGATAATTCCAGTTCACTTCCAGATATCAAATTTGTAGCTTGCATTAACTGCTTTCCTAATATTACTCTTCCACAGGTAAAGCCTGCTTCAGCAAGATTATGATACTATCTAGGGAAATGTAATGCTCTAGATAATTGCTAAAGAGCAGCTTTAAAATCTAGTTTGTCAAGCATATCAATGAGACATAAACCAACTTGTTTTTGATTAACTATGGGGGCCAAGACTAAGGGTAGTAATACTTAAAATATGCATCTGCTACAAAATATCAAATTAGGCTCCAGTTTCTGATGTTTGACCTTTACAGGCCTAAATTATATACAGTAGACCCACACAGTCAAATGTCACAGCTTATAATAACTACTTACACAGAGGAATAAGGTAAGACTTGTATCTCCTGTTACCCAACAGCTGATTAGACAGCCAAGAATATAGAAGGCTCCTCTTCAGACCTTTGACTGCAGGATTTTAATGGAATGGCCAAGAGAGAAAACTGTTTTGATTGCCTGACATGTTTTCAATTTGCCTTTAGTTGTGAGTTTTCAGATATTCTCTGTACAGAGAATACATCTGCTATAATTTAGGTGTTTTGGCAGTTTCCTGACACCTAGTTAGCATCTTTGAAGCAAGTTAGATTATTGTAACAGTTAACATCTACCATACAACATTAGACATTTACTTACATCCCAAAACTCAAACATGTTCTCTGGGTCAATTCCAAAGTCTTTAACTTTAGGCTAAAATAAAAAAGCATGTAAAAACACCATAAGTAAACCCAACATTCTTAAAAAGTTTTATATCTAGCAAATAAAAAAAATACAAGTTAAGTACCGATTAAATCCACCATCCCCCAATTACATGCTCTATTTAAAAAATAGAAAGCATCCATCACAAAAAGTATATCTTCATTTCCAGAGATCACTATCATTATCCAGTAGTCTCAAATAAAATCATTTTCTGATCAAAGTGGCAATATAGTTTGGAGTTGGACTGACATTCAGTTTACATTTAACAGAACCATAACGGAAGAACTTCATACCGCAGCACCTAACAGCCTCTCAGTTATTGCAATCTTTTTTTTAATTGCTATTGGTCTTTCTACTTCATACTTTTGCATGAAACCCCACATCAGGGTACATTATGCTCATGCTATACTACAGATTATTCACACAAACTACCTGCATCACTTCAGCACTTACTTGAGGAGTCTAGGAGAGTAACACTTGTTAACATAAGTGCATTCACACACACTTAAGCAATTACAGGTAACATTAATAACAGGACAGTAATTTCAAGTATAGAGATCTTTATTTCAGATTTAAAGCTCTAGCAGAAAAAGCACAGATCTATAATGAAGGTCCAATCTTGCTATAGTTCATTACTCTAGAAGTGTTTCAGTTATTTTCAGTAGAAAAAAATATGCTTCCTTTCAAGAAGGCCGCTAACTATCGGTATTAAAATAATGGTGTCTTAAAAGACAGGCTTCCTTACTGGATTTTAAAATGAGGCCATCTTAAAAGTACATGGGGAAAGATAGAATAGATTTGTTGTACTTACACCATTGGTAGACAAGGCAACAAAATGCTTGGCCACAGCTGAAGGCTTAATAAAAATAAAGAGATTATTAGACCTAGAATACTAATTATTTTGATTTCTGGTCACAAAGCTGATCTACTACCATTTACATTTAAACAAAATACTATTGACTATCACAATTTTTGTTTTATCAACTTCAATTCATCTTATGCACATTTAGTATGGGATTTGGCAGCATGCCTGTCTGAAGATAACATTCTGATAATACTCTTATGAAGCCCTCTGGAAGCAGTCACTAATTAGACCAGCACACTATTTCCTTAAGAGTACGGTATCAGTTTAGAACATCACTACAACCACTTTGGAGCACATGGAGTTTGTTGTACACGTGCTACCCTTCTGACTAGGGTCAAAAGATTGAGAAAACAGGAATTACTGATAAATCTCAAGCTCCAGATTTAGACTTTGGTCTTTCAGTAAGTGTTCAGGTGAACAAAGATGAGTTGTCTGCAACAGTAGTGTAACAAGGAATTTCAAAGCCCAGCTTTCAAATGAAGTACAGCTACCCTGACTGGAACAGGTTAAAGACCATCTTAATTACCTGAGCAGGCAGTATCTGCTTTTTTCTTTTAAAGGTTAGAAATAGGAGAGAATGAGCCAAATACAAGGTTTCTATTCATAGCACAGCCATCTGCCATAGAAATGTCAGTATATCACTCCAACCATAGCTTCATTTCTAGTTTTTAAATATTCACCAAGAATTGGAATGTAATGCCACATAGACACCATATTTTTAGATTTCTGTATCAGTAGTTCCACCAAATTATTAACCAGCTCTAAGGCAAATGCTACACTATTACTTAGCAGACAGGATTTGGGGAAACACCACATGACAACCACTTACAGTGTAGAACTAGTGGGTTTAATCACTTTGATCAGACATAACAGCCTGTCACTAACCATGAAGCACTGCAATGTTAGTACAACATTTGCTGAGCTATACAGCTTATGTTTGGGCAGCTATTGGCTCTGCTCCAAAGCACACAGAATGACCAGGGAGAAACTGCACAATGAAAACCTGCTGCATTCTGTTACATAACCTAAATACATTAGACTTACATCATTAGCAGCATGTAAGAACCACTCTTTAGCCGTTTCTGCATTGGTGATAGTTTCTTGGGTGGTAAAAGTCTACACAACAGAAAACAAGGAAGTACGTAAAATACTGTGCTTAAAATTGAAACAAGTTCAGGCTGCTAAAACATCATGTTCCAGATAATCAGAGCAAAGTTATTCTAGATCTTCATAATAGACAGCTGCTGCCAGATTTCATCAAAAAAGCAAACTTATCAATCCAGTAAAGACTAGTGTTGCTAGATTTATTTATCTAGTTTTGTACTAGCATATATCTGGAATTGGAATAATTCTTCCCCATTTCCTACCTTCCCTCCCCAAAACTGTTATGCAAAACCTAGAGACTATGATTTTCTACTTTGGTCTTTCACTAAATATGAAAAGTATTACCATTCAACTAAAAAAGGAACTAATTGAACATCAGAACAGGATAACCTAGCTGATTGTCCTCTTGTTCTTGAATTCCTTTTTTTTTTTAACATAGCAACACTCATTTCTGCTAAGACTCTTGACATAATTTTGTTTTGCTGATTAGAGGAAAGCATTTTCCTGCTTCATGAAGTGTGCACAGAAGTTCAGTCATGCAGTTTTGCAAATATCTACAACTATTCTGATTTACCCAACCAGCAAAATTTAGCTTTAAGGGTGAACACTAAATTCAACCTACTCTCATCCAACTCCAGAAATATTTCATTATGAAACACAAGCCTGTTACAGTAAACAAAAAATGCCATTCATCATCTTCCAAATATATCCAATTATCCAACTATAGTCTGGCAAACAGAAACTGAAGTTCTACTCTTTCAATTTAGTAGTCTAAGCCTTTGAACCGTGATCCTTGAACTCAATTATTCAAAGTGACCATTGGTATTACTCTATGAAGTTTCCTTGTTATTCCATAAGTTGTTGCCAAGTACTGCCAAGATAAGATAACGAGCACCACCATAAAACATAGCCAGCATTACACATTAATTTGTTGCTGATTCTGTCTTCAACAGCAAAAAGGTTCCACTATGCTTTACGAACGAAGGCAACTCGACTTACATAATTATGAAATTTGTCTTCATCAGTTTTGTCTGCCAAGACCAAAGCATTCCTCAAAGGAAGATGGCAGGTAGCAATTATGTTTACAGAGTTATTAGCAAGGCAAGACTTAAAATAAAGGCAGCTGTTAAGTCTGTATTTAGAAATAAGTGTCATCTTAAACTACCAGCAGACTATCTTTACTTCTTTATAAGTAGAGCAGTATAGTATGTAGTGTTCAAGGAACTGAGCATTTAAGTTATTTCAGTGAAGACATTTTGTTACAGAATGAAGATTCCCAAACTACATGCAATTCATTAATGCAAAACACACTTAACAAGTAATGCTGTACTTAAAATAAAGGACCAAAAGTAACCTTAAATAAAAGGAATGAGACAACAAGATCTTGAATAACTACACAGGATCCTGTATTTCACCCACAGAGAATTACAGTAAAATAAACTTTTGTTAATGAAGTTTAAGCTTGTGTTGACTGAGAAATACACCCTAAACAGCATTAAATTCCTCATATGTTTTACTTGGTTAAGTCATTTGCAGCACTTGAATTCTGGATCCCTAGGTATTTCATTAGCAACACAAGCTTGTACTGCAAGTTCAGGATGAATCACAACAGGCCTGTTCAGAAATAGTCCACACTAGAAGTCACTGATGTTGATCTTCCTTCTAAGTCCTTTACAGTTAGAGAAAGTCACACCCAGTGCCTGTATTAGATATACCTTTGATGCAATGATGAAGAGCGTAGTGTCTGGTTTAAGCTCAGCCAGGGTTTTGGCTATATGTGTGCCATCAATGTTGGATACAAACCAAACACGAGGGCCTCCCTTGGAATATGGTTTCAGGGCTTCAGTTACCATCAGAGGGCCCTGGATAAAAGCAACAATTAGGTTTTATCTTCATTGCAAGCATGTACACACACAAGAAGACGTGAAAGATGTACAGAAGTCAGGACCTTACCAAGTCAGAGCCACCAATCCCAATATTGACCACATCGGTGATTGCCTTTCCAGTGTAGCCTTTCCATTCACCACTACGGACTCTCTGTGGCAAAAAAAAAATTGCAATGACTATTTTATACTTATCTTAAAGTTAGTGATTCTAACACTGAAAACAGGCTGTGTTTTCAGGCATTGTTGTAAAAAGTCTCTGAAGACAACTTTCAAGTTTCTAGAATTTAAAGCCTGAACTCATAGCTTACCTTCTTTGCTAGACATTTGGTTATATCTAAGAAAACACTTCATTAAGTGTTAGAGGTCTGATGTCCATATTTAAAAATGCACTGCAAGATCAAACTCTCCTTCTGTGTGGACTGCTATAGCATTTACAACAGTTTTGGCAAAGGCAAGAAAAATCAAGCTAAATGAAAAAATCTTGGGCATTAAGCTATTTGCGACAAGTATTCAAACCTGAAGGGCTTCTTTAAGTCTCTTTAATTAGAAGCAACTTTGATAACTAAACTGGAAGACATTAAAATATGAATAAAGCCACAGAGAGATATTTGTTGGCAAACGACATTGAAAAGTCTTTTTAATGCATGTGTTTTGCATTCAGATTTATTTCTGGGCTTCACCTGAACAGCACATAGTAAAGATTTCTGCTCTATTCTTGGGACAAACTTACAATCATTAAGTAATTTCAAAAGACTGCATTGGATTTTGTCCATCATGTACCACGTATGCATTAAATTTATTCTAGTCACAAAAGGAATCTTTCTAGTATCATGCACACTTCTACATACATTCCCCAATTCTACAGCAATTTTTCAAGAACACATCACCTGGTTAAGCTGATAGTTGCTCTGCTTCCCTACAGATGTGTAGATTAAAGCTTTTCCCCCCAAAAGGAAAATCCATTTTTAGTATACACCATTCCTGTAGCCTGTCGATGATGTCGCCATAGCTTTCAAATACTATCTGAGTCAACTGAAACAACCATCTTTGTAATCTTTCCAAAGAAACTGCTTAACATGATTTTTAATTTGCAGAGAAGATACATCTGCATGGAAAGCAATATTTGCAGTCTCTGATGATTGAAATGCTCTAGCAATAGAGAGGGTGGCACCAGTGAAAACTCTTGTTTTGCACTACCAAAATCTAAAAACTCTACAGTGGAAAAAACAGAACATTAAATTTCTGTGGCCATTCAATTCTTAAGTTATCTGAAGAAACTACCAAATTCAGACCAATTAGCGTCAGTTATCATGGTTTTGGCATTTATCCATAGGAACTAGACATAATCCAGGCTCATTTTGTATAGGTTAACAGTATAAGTTGGCAGCAATACTGGCCACTGCCACCTGGATAAGCCTCACAATAGCAATCAAGCAGGTCCAGTTCCTCACAGTCATGTTAAAAATGCACCAAAACTATTATTAGGTGAGCTTGTACTGAATAGTTTTATCACACAAGTTTTACTTAGTGCTCTATGAAGTTCTTCAGAGCATTTCCTCAACTGATGCCTACATTTTAAAGATGTACAGAATCAAAGAACAATTAATGTTATTTGAAGATAATGGTTAACTGCTCTATTTAACTAAGGAAGAAAAAACATGCTGCTAAAGCTGCAAACAGAATAAAACCATAAGGAAATCTAACCTAAAACCAGAAGACCTTGAAGAAACTAAGTAAAGCATAATCAAATTACAAGCGAGCTGGGAGGTTCTACCTCTCTCCTGATTTCGCACAAATTTTAGACTCAAGTAGTTGAAAAATGAGCAAGAAATAAGGCAATATTTCAATGATTTACAAGACTTCTGAAGTAAATGCAAGATTACTGCTAGAAGAGCAAGATCTAGAGATCCCATTAAAGAAAAACCCAACTAGGAACAGAAAGAGAAAAGTGAACCATACCAAAACCAGTTCCAACTCCATGCTTGAGCCCAAACTATTACAAAGCTCAAACAAGGGCACAGTAAGTCATGTGAACCAGACTACAATCAATGCTTCACAATACACATGTAACAACCTGGCTGGGTATAGACCAAATACATGAAAAACAAGCTATGGTGGTACTTCATACCTGGCAAAAGTGTTTCATTTTGTCCAATACTTTGTTTACTTCTGGAACAACATCCTTCCCATCTACAAGTATTGGCACATTGGAACGATTTCTTAGAGCAATATGAAGCACAGCTCGGTTCTGAAACAAGAAGGAAAAAAATTGATGAAGCTATTTCCAAATTATACCCAGGGGCTTCAGGTGCTTCATCCAGAAGGTAGTTGTCCTGGTTTCAGCTGAGAGGATTGATTTTCTTCATAGTAGCTAGTGTGGGGATATGTTTTGGATTTGTGCTGGAGACAGCACTGATAAAATAGAGGTGTTTTTGTTCTATGGACCTACTGTTGAGCAGTGTTTACACGGGGCCAAGGCCTTTTCTGCTTCTTGCACTGCCCTGCCAGCGGGATGGCTGGGGGTGCACAAGAAGTTGGGAGGAGACACAGACAGGACAGGTGACCCAAACTGACCAAAGGGATATTCCATACTATATAACATCATGCTCAGTTTATAAGGAGCTTGGGGGAAGAGGGGGGGGCAGCGGCATTCGGAGCAATGGCATTTGTCTTCCCAAGTAACCATTAGCATGACAGAGCCCTGCTTTCCTGGAGATGGCTGAACACCTGCCTGCCCATGGGAAGCAGTGAATGAATTCCTCGCTTTGCTTGTGTGCGCAGCTTTTTGCTTTACCTATTAAACTGTCTTTATCTCAACCCACAAGATTTCTCACTTTAACTTTTCCAATTCTCTTCCCCATCCCGATGAGGGGGGAGTGAACGAGCAGCTGCGTGGTGCTCAGCTGCCAGCTGGGGTAAAACCATGACAGTAATACAATCTTCAAGACCTAAAAATCCTTTGGATTAACTGGAATTAGTAGAGAGGTAGTTTGTGTACATACACACATTCATCACCAGCTATCTAAACCACTCTCATTTCACAGAATAGGTGCAGAGGGCTTACAAAAGCATATAATATGCAAAGTAAACAAACAGCTTGTTTACTTTGCAAAGAAAGCTCAGAATCCCTTGGAAAGCATTTAATGATTGAGGTTCAGAATTCAGCAGTATTCAGTGAGCTTAATTATTCTGGCATGCTTCAGGTATACAAGGATGAAGTTGTTTCCTATTAATGATGATACTGAAAATCAATCATAACAAGCAGCCAAAGTTATTTCCTCTGGCATTTTCTCAATTATCCTGAGTAGTCCAGTTCATATAGGAAGATACAAATATATTTAAACATTTGACAGAAAAGGAATACAAATAGCCACCTTATTCTATCCATTGCCCACAATTAGATGTTCCCTGAATACTTGCACTCCAGATACATGGGTGGTAGCTGTATGCTAACAGGTTTTTCCTTGTAACACACCATATTATATTAATTCTCCCAGCTATACCAAGTGAAAACACTGAAATCTGGCCTTTGATTTGCCTGTTCAGGATCTTAACAGCTTTAATGTAGAATGAAGGAGTTAGTCAATACTAATGAACAAATTAAAAAATTAGTCTGCTTTACCTCATTGTTCCTCACTACAATGAGAGACATTATGAGACAAAGACAACACAGACCACATGAACTGCCAAGTTACAATTTAAATACCGAATGCCAATTCAAAAATCATGGAGTTTGTGGTTACTGACTTGGAATACAAAAAGCTCTTTCAGTTGCTAATTATCAAAGTGTAGCCACTTAAATTTGGGGTGAACAGAGGCAATTTTTTTTTTTTGCAACACTCAGCCATGGAATGGTGTTATTTGGTAAATACTGCTCACTATCAGACTTAAAAGAAGCTTTGTCTTGATCAAGAGAAGTAGTCATATTTGACCTGATGTCTACCATTAAACACAAGTATTTTCTAAATATCAGGTGGACTATGAAGACTGTCCCCGTAATGTGTAGTCAGATACAAGTTACCTTGCAATGCACTGTCCCTGTGCCATATCAAGCTGCAAGTTTTAACTCATCTGGGATAAACACCTGGCAATGACATGCCTGGGTGCACTATAAAATTTCCACATAAGCACACACCATGCAGCCAAAGCCTGCAGCACCAAACACAGACAAGTCTTAAATACTTAAAACAAATAGCTAAAAAATGTTCTAAATCAGAACAAGAGTAGTGGACAAGTCAGTTCTTGCCATTAAGCAGCTCCCTTCTGTCATATGCTTAAGGTTTATTCAGTCATGCTGTTTGACAGCATCCTGTTTTTAAGGTCTCATGACAATTTCACATTGTCCACATGCTCATATCCCAGAGCCAGATCCACTTGATTTGATAGCCTATACAAACAGAAAAAATTAAACAAACCAAATCTAATTCCAAGTCAACTTGTGACTGTAAAGAAGAAACAGCCTGATAATGAAAAAGATGTTTCTAGAGTTGTCATGCAGGTAACTGCTACATAAAGTTGCCATACCAAGACAGCAGCAAAATAGGGAGCTAACAGCAGAAGCCAAACACATCACAGTTTAATATTGTGTTTAAGTTCCTTCTGTGAAAATTACATCTTTCTGAGAAGACTTCAGCTGCTATGTTTGCTCTCATGTAGACAATGAGGAGTAACTCCATAATATATAGTCAGAGATAGGCTAAACCTGCAATAATTTCTGTTACATGAGGCTAGTGAGAGGCAATATCTGAGAAAACAATCCTCCATGCAGACTTACAACTTATCTCCTTTTCCCATTTCCTTTTTTCACTAGCTAGAATTGAAGGCATTAATACAGAAGGAAGAGGAACCATTTGTCCAGTGAAGCTTTATCTGTTTCTGTCTGTGCATTTACAGACATGTAGTATTCACAAACAATACAATGTCCAACTGCTGAGTTATTTTAAGCAAACAGCTTGTGCAACAGCTAAATCATTCAATAACCAAGTCAAAAGGAAATCCTGATTTCTGTGAATTTAACTCAAGCATACTAAATAGCCTTTACTATTTAATGCAGATTAATAAATCACTACACTGACTTTCCAGTTTTCACCCTACTTTTAATTTCAGAAAAAGGGTACAGTTTGTTTTCTGTATGTTTTAGTGAAGATTTAACCATAATTACAATCTTCAGATGTGCAAAGATCCTCATCCTCTTACTGAAATAAGTGGCTAATTTCCCAAGATTGTTTATAGTCTCTACTGTTAAACATACCCAGATAAGTAGCATCAACAACCCAAAGCAAAAAGTGTTACACAATCCTCATTAAAACTTTGTAGGCAGTTTACTAAGCTTTATAAACACTGACATTAGGCAAAAGCATGTAAGGGATACCTAGAATGCAATACTCTGCTCCAAACCCTTTGCAAGCTCTAACTCATCTTCCTATCAAAAGAGGGAAGAGGAGATAAGAAAATAACTTCTAAAGAGATTTTGGTGGTATATTTAAGACATGTTTTGGAGGGAGCATTGAATAGCTTTATTCACACACATTTTCTTCTGTCTTTGTCAGAGCTTTAAAAATTTCTCATGTAAGTAGTAAAGCAAACATTACAACCACTCAGCATTTCAGAGTAGCAATTAGAGTAAGTTTTCTCAAGACATGACTATTATGGATGTTCATGCATCTGTGTAAGACAACTGAAGGGAAAGAAGCATGGACAGAAATAGCCTTACCTCAGTGAAGTTGATCTTCTCTCCACTGAACATGCGTTCTCTGGCACTTTCCACACCCCTTGACTTTGCCTGAGAAATGTAAAAATAGATTCCTCTTAAAAATAGTAAGAAGTCAACATGCACTACAAAGGTCCAGCTACATTAAAGCGTGTGAACATTTACCACATATGACAGTGAAACAAAAGTTATCATATTAGATTAAAAGACCACTAGATTCTAGCTTAAATTGATTCTCTTATTTTAAAGCAAGTATTTTTATGCAGGCTTTTTATTTCCTTAAGAGGTTACACAGTAACATGTGCTGAATGACCAACATGCAATTAATCCATCTTGATTACTCAGTTTCATCTTGTCATACAGCTACAGGATTCATTAATGATTCTTTGTACCAGCTTAGAATTTTATTTATTTTTTTTTAACTGAAGAGTAGTAAAATTAATTTTACTCTTTAAAAATCTGTGTCTAAGCCTTTGGCTGAACCAACAGTTGAAGAAGGGTTGTAAATATGGATACCATGCTCAAGTTAATGACACAAACTTCTTTCTTAAAATACATCCAACTGCAAATGAATCTCAAAAGTAAGACTGCATGACATACAAAGCGTTGATTCAGTATCAGGCACAGAAGACATCACCTTCTCTTACAGGTTTATATGAATCTCTTATTTTACTGCAGACCTCAATGACAGTGCCATATGCCAGCTGGTCTATTACACAGACAAAAATCTTTTCAATGAGCACAAGAAACAGATCTGCGCATTGACAAATGGCCTTGTACCCTGGGCCTAAAGGACAGTGCAAGACTTTGAACAATGTCAAGATTTGTAAACAAATGCCTTTTAACTTTGCTCTCAAATTCAGAGCTAAGTGTATATAAGCAATGCTAGAATAATCAGTTGCAGGTAAAAGTTTTTAAAATGTTGAATTAATAAACCAAATATTTGGAGGTGTTTTTCTTTTAGGAGTTACCAGTTCCATCAGCATTTTCATCACTTCTTCCGTAACAAGGTTCTTCGAATAATCCAGTAAGATATCTCCATGATCAGTATTCAGAGTCAAGCTGTCAAAACAAGCAAGTTGTTTAATTGCACATACCTGAAGAGTGACTGTTTTAAGCAAGACAATGATAACTCCTCTACAGATTACAAAATAATTGGAATCTTAATTATACTAAGTTACTGAAGATGACCTGAGGGACTGATCTGACCACAAGTTTCATAAAATGGCCTACTAGTGTGTTGTTTTAATTGAAAACCATGGTTTTCAATAACCTAAATTATAGTGTCCACTTTCTGCTTGTGCAAGTTCAAATACAATGAAGTATATTTAATGCACAGTTGGACAATCACCTTCTGTTTTCACCGAGCCATTAGTATTGTCTAGCAATAATTAGCTTTTTCTAATATATCATAGGTAAAAGGCTTACTATATTCTTGTGCTGCTAAAAAGTGAAACTGTCTTCCTACAGGTCCTTCCAACAAATAGTCATTTATATGGAAACTTGAACAAGCCTTGTTTAAAAGGCTCTACAACTTCACGTACAGAAACATTCTGTCAACTACTATGCAGAATTAAGCCTCATTTGCGCATGGTGTAGTTTCACTGTCCTGACTCAGTGGAAGTCTCCAAATTATTTAACTAATCCTCATCTGAAAGCTATAGCCTAATACTTCAAGATACAAGCACTTTTAGGTTTACTTCTGAGATGAAACGCAGAAATGGTAGACCAATAGAAATCAAGTGTGCCCATTTGTATTTACTAGCCTTGTATCTCTGAGAAGTTCTATAGTCCCTGTAGTCCTTTACAGCACATTTTCTACCCATTTCTTTGCACTGATTTACAGCCAAATATACACATTTACTCTAAACCGAAGAATTAAAGTCCTGTAAGTAATTCAGTAGGCCTCCTACAAAAGCACAGAAGGCCTTTTATATCTTACTCTTATTTTTGCTCCACATGCCCACGCCACAGGAAATTGCATGCATCTAAATTCTCAATGTTTCTGCATTGTTCATTATCTCCTCTGCTTTTTCTTTCCCAATATTTGTGCACAGAAATATGCACTGTTATTTCAGTGATCATGTATGCCAGAGACTTCACAAGGACAAACCATGGCATAAATTGCTATTCCAAACAGATATAATATGACAGAGCAGGCAAGATTCTGCAGAGAAAGAATGGAGCTGAACTTGCAATAACAGTAATAATAAGCAAGGCCTAGACATTTGGGTGGTTTCATTAACTTGAGCAAAAACACAGTAACATGCTTTTTCTGGTCTTAAAATACAAGAGACACTAAGTAAGGAAAAGACGGGAAGGTGTCTTCAAGCACAGTCTTAGAAGAGTGTTTCTTGTATAGTCAAGAACACAAGGCAAGTAAGGAAAAGCAGTTATCAATACTGTTAACCACCCTTCTCTTCAGAGATTTGATGCATTTATTTACAGATAGGTCTCAGATTTGAATGCATTTTACAAATGATACAGCAAGGCCATTATTATACTAATACTTCTTCAGTTTAGAGAAATAGAACTACTAAAATTCTCATATTACAATTTAATATAGAAAGACAGTCTTTCCCAGTGTTCTGCTCCATGAATATGAAGTCCTTACAATCTTCTATGTTTACCTGACATATGCCTTGTTTCTACAGTTCATTGATTTTTTTATTCATGTAAATAAAACAATCTCATTAGACCTAGAAGACAAAAATATCCCATGAAATTCCAAGTTTATTTGAATCACTATTCATTTGAAGAAACTGCAGAAAGATTGCATCCCAATACATTTTATGCAAAAAAGTAATGCCTATCAGATCTAACTTCCACACACACAAGGTGGAACATGCAGCATGCAATATAATCTCATTTTAAACCCTTACACCAGAGATCCACCTTTTATTTAAAGAGACATCCAAAACCCCTGCAGCTCAGTTGCATTCTGCTACTCTACCCATTCTGCAATGCAGCAGCTAATGGTAGCACTACCTAGGTGGAACAAGTGACTTGTCACGTAAGCCACATCCACATTTAAGTGATGCAGCTCTTAACTGGAAGGTCACCTGCAGCATCTCAGAGCTATTTTTATCTCCATCTAAACACAAACTGAAGAATCTGTATGCAGTCCCTAAATGCATTATTACAAATGGATTCCCTGATGGTATATTTTCTATCTAGATTGGAGGCTCTTTCTGATCTTTCGTAACGGACAAGCCAACTAGCAGGAATGTAATGCTAGTGCTTTGTATCTTGCACGAGCTATTTGTATCAAGAGTCCCTCAACTGGCATCTAGGCATCTATTATCTGCTGAGTTTTATGATAGCTGCATTATATCAGTTCTAACCCCTTCAAAACTAGTAGAGTTGTTCTAGTGAACAAGGCATGATATTAAGACCCACTGTTCCTACCAGACCTTACCTTTGGGCAGCAAAGAAAGCCCAAGGTGTACCCTACAGGTTTGATTACACTCCCAATCAGGAAAACAGGATACACAAATTCTGAGGAAGAAAAAAGGATCTTCTATCCATATTCTGTAGGACACGATGAGTGAGTGTAAGGTTCTTCTAATAACATTAAATAGATACTTGTTCTCAGAGGTAAACTATCCAGATTAAAAGTTATTCACACCAGTCTGAAGTTTCTCTAGAACTAGCATCAGGAACCATTTTTACAGGAATAAAAGTTTCTCTTTTCCTTCTAAAGGAAGAAAGAGTCAATGATTTTATGATAATACCTAGCAGACCTAACTGAAATGTATTCATAAAGATTAATTTCACATGAGGAGATAGGTGCAAACTACAGAAAGGACCTTGTGGCCAAACCTCCAGACTGCTTAGGCTTTCAACAGATGTTAACTACCATCACCCTGCTGATCTGGCTCTTAAAGTGGCAATCAGTGAGAAGTATACAAGCAGATGTCAACTTAATCCAGGTTATCAGTTCTAGAAGTGTAGCTTGCTATGAGAAAGTTCTCCTGGTAGTCTAAAACGCACTGGTTTCTCAGGAAACAGGACTGAAAATCATGAAAAGAAAGGATTAAGATAGATGAAGTAAACAAATCATTTCAACTGTTTCCTAGCCTTATGGGCAGCACAAAAAGACATAGGTGGGCAGCTATTTGAAACAGATAACCTTGGTAAAGAATGCTTCACCAAGAAATCTGATAAACGCATTCTAAGAAACACACTGACTACCTTCAGCATGGAGAAAACACGTTAGAGATTAGCATGCATGCCTGAAACAACAGTTGTCAAATTATCTTCTTGGTTGACTGTATACAACTGACAGTGTAACACCTGAAAAAAGGTCAAAGTACATTACACATTCACAAGAGCAATTAAATACAGACTATTTGAGATTGAGAGAACATATTTTCTGGTTAAGGTCACTTGGATAATATTTAAGTGACAGCCAGTGAGATTAAGATGCAGTGCTATCCCCAATAAGAGCACTTGCTTAAGCCACTCAGGAAGGAACCATATAAGAAAGATTATACTTTTTGATTTATTCAACTAGTTTGCTTCAGCCTTGCTTTGTCCCAGGGATGTTACCAAATTAGTCTCTTGGGATATAATAGAGATAAGGAAAAGCTGCAATTTAAGAAGTAACTAATGAGCTCAAAAGAAAAGTCACTTTACCTAGGACACTAATGAAGAGCTTGATACATGCAACAAGTCCCACCTCACTCAAGAAACTCACTACACCTGTATTACTCAGGCTCACTTTAAAACTCAAGTCAGGGATGCATCTACATAGCATTAGACTTTTCAGATTGCTGTGCAGTCCAACAATGTAACCACACACAACTTCTCAGCACTATCTCAGTGTACAGAAAACTTAGTCCCACTTTACACAATGAAACCACTGAATGTTATCATGGTGCTTCCACATCTTACTTCCTCCTGTAGCAAAAATATGTTGCAATGCCTCTTCTGTAACATGGACAGCATGAGGCAAGGGAGGGCTAAACATCCCCCCCTTCCCCATCTCAGGGCAGGGGTAGGCACGGCGGTACTACTGACAGGTAGAGGCACCGGCATGGATGGATGGATGGCTCCTCGTGATCTTATCACGGAGCTTATCATGACTAAGCACACGGGTGCGAGAGACTGAGACACGAAGGACCCACAATGCCGCTGTGCGAG